GGGGGAATTACTCACTAATCATGCTAATAACAAGATTAATTAACAAATAATCAAGAATAAACATGATTAACAAGCAATACCAACAACTAAAATAAAAATCAAAATAAAGTAAATAAAATAGAGGAGAGAGAGTTAGAGATCTCATTGATTGAAGATGAAAGTCTATAGAAAAGATGATCAATTTCTTCTTCAAAATCCAAACTCAACAATGGTGAAACCCTTACTTTCTCTCTCTAAACTATCCTAATCATAACCTAAACCTAGTGAGAGAAGCTCTCCTAAAACTAATTAGATAATAGAATAAATGGTAATTGTTTCTCTCCCCTTCTAATTACCCCAAAAATGGGTATATATACCAAGCTAATAAAATGCTAATTAAATAAAAGAAAAGAAAAGAAAGTAAAAAGGAAAAGTAAAAAATAAGAAACTAAATATAAAAATAAAAGAAAGAAATAAGAAAAGGGAAAAGAAAAGAAAGAAATAAAAATAAAATAAAAAGGAAAAATAAAACCCCAAAATCCCTAAAACATATCACACCCCTTTTCCCCCTCTTCTTCGAAATTTGGCTGCTTTGATTTCCTTCATCAACATAATCAATGGTTGTAGGGAATAATTTCAAGCCTTAAATCCCACTAGCTCGAACCCCACTGTGATCATACACTAAAGTACGGTGGCGTCCAAAAGGGAAGAAGATAGAGCAAAAGAGTCGCCAACAAGTTTTTAAGGAACTTGTAAACTGTTCATAGGAGGAAGGTTACACCCCTTAACGATCCAAGAGATCGTCAACTCCATAAGGTCATGAACCAAATAAGGGTCCGGGGATGAAGGTACAAATCCAACCTAAAAGAGATTGAACCTGCCCTAATAATAGGCCTCTACTTTATTCTGATTGTATTCATGTGCGCTTTTTAATTAACATGCAATCAATAGGATTAACCCTAAACCTGTTTATCTATGTTGGTTGAATATAATGCACAAATAAACTATTATTGGCAATCACTTGAATTTATAATCATATTAACCCTAAACAATATTATTAATTATCTTATTAAGCATGATTACAAGTACCAATTCCCTTTAAACATGCATCAAAGGTGTGATCAAGCAATAAAGAATAAATAATGTATCAAGCAACATAATCAATAATAATCATGAAGAATAATAATAATCATATCATAATAATAATAATAATAATAATCATAAATAAAATAATCATCATCAAAATAATAATAAATTATAACAATTATAATCATAATCATGTTCATGTTAATATTAAAGCATAATAAAAATAGCAAGATCCTAGGCATGATACTATCAAGATTAATAACAAATCCTAGCATGTCCCTAAGCAATAAAAATCAAATCTTTAACCCTAACATGATACTAACAATCATAAATATTAGGAAGAAAATAGGAAGCATCGTAGGAATCGTATTTAATATATTTGATATTACCCTAGACATGATACTAGGAATATCATAAGAACAATGTAAACATGATTTCTACATCATAATATCAATTAATCAATTAAAGTACTTACTTTGATGCCTCGTACCTCTTTCTAATAAAAAAATACACACTTAGTAACTTCAAGGAAAATAATAAACAGAACAATTAATTAAATAATTGAAATAGAGATTTGGGACCAAATCCTCAGAAATTAAACCTTTCACGTCTAGGACGAAGGCAACTTCGAATATGGCTAGGTGTATCTAGATCTTGTGAATGCAGAATTTTGTATGAAAAAGCAAAGTTTAGAGAAAGAGAGAGAGAGAGAATAATCAAGAAAATCTTAATGAGAGTTGGTGAATGAAAACAGAGTTTTTAATACGATATTTATAGAGAAATTAGCCAAAAAAGATAATTTAGCTAGCCAGGGTTGGCGCCAGCCACCAATGGCTAGCACCAGGCGCCAATGGCTAGCGCCTGGCGCCAAGACTGGTTCTAGGCGCCAATGCCTGGGGTTGGACGCCAAACTGGATTTCAACGCGTTTTCGAAAATCTGATAAATTTACCGTACTGGAAGATAAAATAATATAATTTCTTCGAAAATGCTATTTGATTTTGATTAAAACTCTTAAAAGTCAACAAAGTCAACTTATCAATGCTAATTGAATTAGGAATGAAAAGAACCTTCTAGAAGATTCTAGAAGACTAAAACCATTCCTAATTGCATTAGGAATGATAAATCATATTAGGCCCTCCCCTAGATCATTGGGTCGTACATAAAGCTCAAATCGGGCCCAGTTTAGTAAACTGGCCATAATTTCCTCAATATTCATCGGAATTGGGCTTATAATATATCGTTGGAAAGGTCTTTGAAAGCTCCATCCAACTACACTATTATGGAATCCATATCATGGACCAACCAAACTGGATTGAATGTTTTCTTAAAATAAAGTTTTCAAAAACAGAGAGAAAAGAAAAGAAATAAAAACTTTCCGCAACACTAGACCTTTCACACTTTCGTTTCATTCGATTATGATTCAACGTGAAAGGTACTTATCACTGTGTTTGGTTTTGGGGAGACACAAATGGGTGTCTACAATGGCTATCATGGAGCATCATCTTTGATCTTCAATCTCAGTCGTTCGATCTTATTAAACATCATGTTCATAGCTCGTGAAATGGTTCGATCGAACCATGGGTTGGTGTGGCCGAACTACGGGGTTGGTTTGGTCAAATTATGGGTGTGTTCGACCACACCTCTTCAATTTACAGAACCTCGAAAGTTTCTGACTGTTTTAGCACTTCTTAGCGTTTCAATCGAACTCCTATGCGGTGTGCCCGAACTTGATTAATTTACCATTTACTCTGATTTTTGGGTGGAAATAGCGGAATCGGGGTGAGTAATTGTGGTGGACTGGTTGCAGCAGGGGGTTTTGGTTGTTGGGTGCGTGAATTGGTGGGTGATAGTGGTTGTTGTTGCTGGCGACTAGAAGTGAGGGTTATTGGTGGCGATTGGAGGCAGCAGCGGTGGCTGGAGAACGGGAGATGCGGGCGCTATAGTTTTGTGGCTGGTGTTGTTGTGCGCGAAGGGTGGATAGAGGAGGTTAATTGGTGTGAGTTTTGGTGTTTTATGAATTGGTTGTAGGTGGCGCTGCTGCTCGTTTAGTGGCTGATGTTGTTGTGCGCGAAGGATGGACGGAGGAGGTTAATGGGTGTGAGTTTTGGTGGTTTATGAATTGGTTTCGATGGTCGTTGGTGCAGGGGAAGGAAGCAGCGGTGGTGCAGGGCTGCTGTTGTTGCGGTTTGTGGGTGCAGGTGGTGATGTGCGTGGTTGTTGTTGGTTGAGTCGATTGGTGGCTATGGTGGTGTAGGGGTTGTTGTTGTGGGTTGCGTGGTGTTGTGAGGGTGAGTGGAATTGGTTTTGCTGGTGTGGTGGAGGATAGGAGATGGTGGGGTGAAGGGTAGGAGGCAGCAACAAGTTAAGCAGCTTGGGGCAGCAGCCATGATGCTTGGCTTTGACACATTTGACTCAAACCCGGAATTTCGAACTTAATTTGAACATGGAAATCGGGCGTCAACCCGAACACACCTACAACCAAAAACCAAACACGAGGGGTTTATCAAAAGATAAAATAAAATAAAATAAAATTAGATAAATAAAGTAAATAAAATACTAAAACTAAAAAAATAATAAAATTAAATGAAATAACATAAAATAAAGAAAACAAACTAGAAACTAAAAGAAAATAAATAAAAAGAGAGAAACTAGGAATTATTAACTAAAAATACGAAAATAAACTAGAAACCAATTAAATAAAGAAATTAAAATAAAACATACTAAAACTAAGAAATAAACTAGAAACTTTATTAAAAAGAAAACAAGAGAATAAAAGGGAAAATATTGGGACATAAATGTCACTTATCAAATTCCGCCAAGCTAAACCTTTGCTCGTCCTCGAGAAAAGCTAAGGAAAAAGAGAACAAGATGGATTTATTGAAAGCAAAAGAAACAAAATAGAAACAAAGAGAAAGAATTTACACTAACTCACTGTCGTAGGAATCACGGATGCATTTAGCGTATGCATCAAGCCCTTTAAACCCCCATGTCGCCAAAGAGGATGAGTAAGCTCTCGTGATGGTTTCCTAAGAGGTTTAACCCACAACTCTTGGCAAAACCCAAGGCAAGGCAACAAATGGAAAAAGAGAAGAAACATGAAAAGAGAAAACAAACACAAGCTCATGTATGGACAAAATATTGGGACAAGTACTAATGAATGCAAACCTTTCTAATTGGACAAATGTATGCACGTTCCAAGATGTCAATGGTTGATTGAAACATAACACATGCTATGCATAGAGAACTACTTAGGACTCAATCCACCCTAGCCCCAACCAATCGGGCCACGTTCTCTCCACTAGCTTCAAATCAACCCTTAAGCTAGCTTCTCAAGATTCCACGAAGGAATCGGAAAAAGATAAAGAAATGAAAAACTTTGAGAAGGTAATCCCGACGTCTTAACTATGCATACTCTTTCCATAGGTTTGAAGTCTATCTCCCTCCACCGTTCTTTTTACCTAACCCATTAGAGTCTTAGGGTCTTTTTATTGGTAGTAACGTAAGGCTAAGGGTTAAGGCGGGGTAAAAATTTGAAATTTGGTGATATTACCTAAGTGAAGCAAAAAGTGCGGTCGACACTCAAAAACAAATCAAGAAGTCACTAAATATCTGATGAGTGGCATTTATGCCACTCTTTATCCTTTTCTCTAAGGATTCTCCCCTCATTTGCACTTGTTTGGCCCTTTTTCTAAGCATTTTTACTTAGTTTTGCTTCCTCTTTTCTTTTCTTCTTTATCTTCCCTTTTCTTGTATCTCGCTATGTTTTTATTTTGATTTCCATGCACTACTACAAAGTTGGGCTTAAGTAACACCTATTAGTAACACTTAAAAAAATTTATTATTGTTTGATTTATAGGTAACACTTTTGTAGCATTATGGTGTTAAGTAACATTTATTTGTAACACTTAAATATTATGTAACACTTGATGGTAACACTTTGATATTAGGTAGCATTTGGGGGTAACATTTAAATTTTTTTTATAATTTTGTTTATGTTTTTTATTCGAATAAAAACACTTAATATGATATTCTCAATTTTTTTTTTGCATATTTGAAATAAACCCACAGTCACAACTTTCTTCGTCCCTCAAGCTTTCAGCTTTTCACCCCCTTCTTGCTCTCTCCACTGAAGCCCCCGTCCACCGCAGTCCGCAACCTATCTCCATCGCAACAACCCGTACCAGCGATTGATACCTCTTGGCCTCCATCTTCAACGGCTTCCTCCTTTTAGTTAGGGTTACGGTTAGTTCAGGTCCTTCTCCTTTCCATTATCAACAAGAATATGAGCTATGTAAAGTTAGGGTTTCAATTCCCCCTTTCAAATCTTATTGATGATTTCTTAATTTGATGTTGAATTTTCCAATTAAAATGTTTAATTTCACTATTATCATACTGAAATTTGCATGCATCTGAATTGGTCAAAGTATTTAGACGAGTTTGGGATTTTTGTTTTTTATTCTTTTTTTCGATTATCGCGGGTAGGGAAAGAAGGGTGTTTGTAGGGAAGGGGGTATTTGCAGGGCAGGAGTGTGTGTAGGGGTGTGGGTGCAGCTGCTGCCCTGCAAAGGCAAGGCCTCTGCTACGTGCCCTGCCAAAGCAAGGGTGCAACTGTCTGCCCTTGCAAGGCTACTGCTGCCTTTTGAAGCTAAGGTGGCTACTGCATATATTATCTTTTTAGATTAGAGAATGAGCATGTAAATAATGTCAACAATTAGAGCAGTTAAATAGGTATCATTGACTTAGTGATGGGCTGAGCTGATTGTATCGCATAAGTATAGCCCGGTAATTATTCATTCTAATATTGAAATTAGTATGGGGTTAATGGGGGTTGGGAGATGGGGAAACGAGCTCCTAGTATTAATAGCAGCTACGACTTTCAGGACATGATACAAACTTGAAGTTATAAATTGTGATCATTGCTCTGATGTCCATGACTTTTAATCTTTAGCTATGAATTTTTGCATTTTAGCTGTGATCTAACTATTACTAGCAATTTAGCTATGAATTTTTTTAGTTTCCTCAAGTACAAGTGAAGATTAAAGCACCGAGCTTTCTCTCCTTCATTGAGGTGTATTTTTTAATCTTTGAATTTCAATTTTTCAGACTGGGTGATATTACTTCAATTTGCACCCTTCTTGCTTGGCACACCCTTGGTTAAGTGATGATTTCTCTTCCTCCAATCGTCTTGATCGTAACTCTGAGGTAACTTCTTACTTGCTTTTCTAAATTTCAGGTTTTCCTCCTGGATTATCATGTGATGGAGACTTATTTCCCCAAAATAATAATAATATCCGGATTATTTGGTGACTGAAATGATATTAAATTTGTTTTACATGGGTTTTCTTTGTCTTTTTTAAAAAATTATTTACTGATGAATTAGATTATGTACTTCTATTAAGTTTTTCTTATAATTTTGGCTGATTTTGGCTAAATTATAAATTTGAGAGATTTGAGATTTTGAATTTCTGATTTACATAAACATAGAGTTGCAAGTCGTTTATTGCAATTAAAGTTGAAATCGGAATTATAATTGGAGTTCTAGCCTGAATTATGACTATTTCTTGCTTAATTGTGTATTCATGGTGCTCTTTGCTTCATTAAAGAGCTTATGTGTTTATTATTTCCCAAAATCATCTGGAATTTTATGTTGATGCCAGAATGTTAAGAATACAAAATATGGACAGAATTGAAAAAAGATTGATGAACTCTTTCTGTTTTCTCATTTGTACTGTTATATTAACCATTATGATTGTCCTCTATAAATGTCTTATATCTTTGCATTTATTTATATGTTCTATTTCAATGCTACATCTCTTCTGAGACCAGGACCCTTTATCATTAATTTGTCTTGCATGTTGCATACCTTGTTCCAACACCGTACGAATGGTGTTTCCTACTCAAGATCGAGAAGCTTCTGGTCTAGTAATGTTGGCAAGTCCAAGAAGCAAAAGGGCTTCAGTGTTGTGCACTATTGATTAGTGTTGTGTTCTACTCAATTTATATCATAATCATTTTAAGATAACTCTAGCTGAAAAGCATTTCCTCATAAAATGTAGTTTGTAGAATAAAATTAGGACACCGACTTATAAAAAAGATGTTAGAGCATTGAAGGCGCGACAATGTATGTATTCAAGGTCTACTACTCTTAAGGCTAGTAGGTACTTTGAAATTATCCTAGCCTAAATCTTCTTGTGTGATATGCTATTCTGAATATTTCCCTTTATATTTTGTTTCATTCAAGTGGTTTTGTCCAAATAAGGTCTCATTTTCAGGGTATAGCTGCTTGGAAGGCAGGAGCCACTACTTTCAAGATGGAGGTCTTAATCATACTTAGGCTCTGTACTGGAACAGTAAGGTAAAATATTTGCACCTTTTATGAAGGTCAACCATTCATTATATTGTATAATTTTTTAACTCCAAAGAGGTTTTATTAATTGTAATTGGTTGGTAGGTGAATAGTGATTTTTTTGTACCTAAGCATTTCGTTGCTAGTGGGTCTTGACATCTATTTCCTTGCCAAATGGTTTTAACATAATGAATATACTAGTGTTGAAATACATAGCTTGTGATGTAGCCATTTCTTACCGAAAAAACTGCACTGCATTTGGATCATTATCAACAATTTTTCAAATGTTTGATTAAATAGTTAATAAGTTTTCTAGGCTTAGAGGCCCGACATGGGTATGATTTTTTCTCAATTTTTTGTCATCGTTAATTGGCTATATACATTGGGCCTACTCTAATTCTACATGATTGTGAGATTGTGCACATCGATCGCGTGGGTTGCTATTGGCTTTAAACTTGTTTCAATTCATCTGATATGCTACTGTCTGGGAATGTCGAAAGTAATTTTTTTGCAGTTTAACATTGCATTGTCATGAGCTGTTAAAATCTGAAGTCGTATGCCATGATGATGGCCTTTAACTATGATTTAATCAAATATTTTGCTCCTGTACTCTGCAGGATCAGGGGGAAACTCAAGAGGATGAAAGTAGTAGCTTCAAACACAAAAGAAATTGTTCGTGTTGCTTCTATTTAAGCTGTTCAATCCTAGTTTGTGGACACGAAAATAGTCTTAAAACACCAAAAAAAAACAACACTTAGATCAAGGGTTGCAAGGGGGAGATTCAACGCAAAGAAAAATCCAATTAGGAATGGATTTGGATATGATGTAGATGACACAACAACAGATTGGAACACCTGTCCACCAACATCAAGATAGAGTAGCATAACAATCTAAGAGGAAGGTCTATATCAAACTTCCAAACTGAGATTAGGCAAGTAATAGGCAAGACTACTACATAAAAAAATACACCAGTATATCATTTCACAGTAAGGAAGGGGAGGAGGTTGAGATTAGAAATGGTGTCCAAACTTAGATAGGGTAGAGTAAGGCAATGGTGTTATGCTGTTGTTACTGATGTCAGTTGCTTATACTGTTGTTTGTTGCTGCTACTACTGTCTGCTGCTGCTATTTTCTACGACTACCAATGTTTGCTGCTACTGCTGTCATCTGGTATTAATGGTTGCTGGTACTGGTTAGCTGTTGTTTTCGCTAGCTAGCTGCGGCTATGTGCTATTATTACTATTGTTTGTTGCATCCGCGCTGATTGTATGTTTGTATAGAAATTGGAGGTCTCAAGAGACTTAAGTTCACTTCATTTCGATTATTAGATTGTTTAGCCAATAAAAAAAATTGGTGTTTATGGATGTTTTTTTTTAAAGAAGTATGAAATAAATTATTTCAATTCAAATTATTTTATTTTATATGTTAATTTCACATTCCTTGTTATACATATTAATATTATTTTTATATTTCAATAATAATAATAATAATAATAATAATAATAATAATAATAATAAATGTTACCTATTAACTAATAAGGTGCTACTAATTGTTAAAAGATGATTGAAAAATGTTACCTAATAACCGACAAAGTGCTACATTAGTTCTAAAAAGTGTTACACAATGTCGATTAAAGTGATACCATATGATTAAAAAATGTTACTAAGGATAAATATGTGTTACATAAGAAATAAAAGGTAACACTTTATAAATGATACTAATAATATAAAAATTGTTACATAAGAGGGTTTATAGTACCACTTTTGAAAGTGTTACCATACGTTACCCAAAGTGTTACATAACACCTTAGCTAACATGGGCGGAAGTATCACCCAATAAAGTGTTACCTATTGTCTATAGTAACATTTTTACCACTTTATGTAACACTTATTGGGTGTTACTTGAGGCTAGTTTTGTACTAGTGATGCTTTTGTTTTGTGACTATTATGTGCCGAAAGAAAGAGGATATCAAGAAGCCAAGCTAACTGTTGTGCACGGGGTGTTGTGCGGCTACTGTGCGGGCGCGCACCTTTGGCTGTGCGGGCGCGCAGCCCTGTCAGAACCCGCGCAACCAGGTTGAAGAAACAGAGCCTATGTCTAGCTCTAAATGAATAGGGATGAGCATAGGGGATCCCTTGATATGATTATGGTGTATGAATGTGAATATGAATGCATGTTTATTACGACTGCACCTCAATGTGATGGTTGCCTACGTATCTGTTAGGAATCAGGCTAAACGTAGCTCTAGCCGAACCTCGCACAAGTATGTGTATACCTCAAAAAGGTCTTTTAAAGGGTTGTAACGTGGTTAGGCTAAAGGTTTGAAGAAGAAGGGGATAAAGGCTCAAGACCCTTGATAAGCCCCCCAAGGTGTACAACTTTGCTTTTGAATCTTTATATTTTTATGCTTGAGTTTCTATTCCTTTTTTTAAGCTTTTTCTTTTACTTTAGCATTTATTTTATTTTTATAACTGTGGGCAATCTCGATCATGCGGTCTATCACTCACTTGGCATTCATGTTTCTTAGTCACGGTACCGTGTACTTGATAGGAGACGCAATCTGAGACGTGTTCATATCGAAGACATTTTCATATCAAAGACATTGGAACACTTACCCTTTTGTACACTTTTATTGCTTTTTTTTTTTTTTGCTGTTTTAATCTTTTGAAGTCATTCAAGCTTTTTATGATATTGAAAATTGCATAAGTTTCACACCATCCCATCCCAAGATTAGGTAGATATGGGTTGAAAAATGAAAGGTCTGTCATTAGACAAGGCTCAAAGTGGCTTATCAAAAAAAGATTGCATATTTGAAGGGTGAAATTAAAGGTAATATGATGTGGCTACAAGGGGTTCCTTAAATCATCGGTATACCTTGTGCTTAATTCGACATGGAATTTTTTTTTTTAATGCAATAATAATGAAATTATCATATATAAGAGAATAAATGCTCATTTTATTAAGAAGGGGAAAAGAAAGAATCTACAAAATTAATCTAAGAGAAAAGAAAGATGTCTATGCTAGGCTTATTGGGGAAAGGGTAAATAAAGAAAAAAGAAAAAAGAAAAAAGATGTCATGAAATCTCGTCGTTGAAGCTCGCCTCTTGTCTTGTGTTGTTTGTTTTATAATCACTCGCTCTTCTTGTTAACTGGAGGTATGGGAAGCTTGTTATTATCAATCAAATGTTGGATAGCCTCCTTTAGCTTCCAACAGCTCTCAGTAGCATGACCCCTACCTTGATGGTACTTGCAGCGCACATTTGGATTCCAACTAGGCACTCTCTTCTCATGCGGGGGATCTTGAAGAGGTCCAATAGGAGTAATGATTCCCTTGGCATGGAGTCGATCGAAAGCGTCATTGTAGCTAATTCCAATAGGAGTAAAATCCTTTTTCGGTTGCTTTCTAAATCCTAAGATCTCATTAAGGTCGAAAGTACCAACATTGTTGCTAGAGTAGGTGTTTTCAGAAGGAGAAGGATAGTCGTTCTTCTTCCCTTTACAGCCATTGTTACTATTGTTACTAATCTTGGCCTTCCTGTCGCGCGGAGGAACATGAAGGAGATTTGAATCAATGAAGTCTTGAACACAATCCTTGAGGGCGAGACACTTTTCGGTAGTGAGACCGCGACCTCTATGGTATCGACAATAGGAATTTGGATCCCAATTGGGAAAACGTTTTTCAGATGGAGGGTCTTGACTGGGACCAATGGAGTGAATATGACCTTGATCATGAAGACATTCAAAATCTTCATTGTAAGTCATTCCTATTGGTATGTATTCTTCAATGGTTCGTTTTGCCCGTGGCTTAGGAGCATTGATTTCTTCATTAAACCCTTGGCGAGAATTTTGTTCGATGACCATCACCCGATTTGCTAGTCCTTCTACCACGTTCAAGAGCATGGCGACGACATCTTGCAATTTTCGAACGTCCTCTTTTAGACTTGACGAGTCTTCCCTGGTATTATCTAAGAAAAGACTTTCATCTTCCCCAATCATGGCCACTTCATCGAGAGAGGTTATATAAGTTGTCTCGATCATGGGCTCTCCTACAGGTGTGATAAGAAGTGATGGATCGAAGGATGCTTGATCTTTTTCGATGGCTAGAATTTCAGAAGTTTCATTGTTATCGATCAGATCTTGAATAGCTTCTTTGAGTTTCCAACACTCCTCAGTGTCGTGACCCTTTCCTTGGTGATATTTGCAGTGCTTATTAGGGTCCCACTTGGGTGGCCTGGCTTCTGGAACTAGATCTTTGATAGGCCCTATGGGCATGACTAGTCCTTTGTGGTGTAACTTCTTGAAAGCTGTTTCATAACTCATACCAAGTGGAGTGAACACCCTTTTTTACCTTTGGATCCGTGATTTAGAGGCGTTCGTAGTACGTACTTCATTAATGGGAGGGGAAGGAGAAGGATGGTCGTTCTTCTTTCCTCTCGCACTATTATCTTTCAGAAGGTCATCTTCAATGTCAAAGCCTATATTATAGACAGCCTTGAAAGTATTCAAGTTGTGTTGGTACTTTAAGTGCCTTGAATACTTCCCTTGGAGATTCTTGATAAACATCCTCACAGATTCTTTTTCGCTAGGAGCCTTAACCATATTAGCGGAAGTTTCCCTCCATTTATTGAAGAAAGACGTGAACCCTTCGTTTTCCTTTTGTTTTAACATCTGGAGTTGTCTATGGTCTGTTTCATCTTGGATGTTACACTTATATCTGTCTATGAAAGCATTTGTTATCGATTCCCAAGAAGAGGTTTTCTCTTTGTCAAGGGAAAAGAGTCATTGTTGACAAACGGTCTCAAGAGATAGAGAAAATATAAAGGGGAACACTTCCTTATCAATACCCTTAATACTTATTATGGTTTCAAAAGCTCTCAGATGAAAGTAAGGGTTATCTGTTGCCTTGAATTTTGGGATGTCAGTGGTATTGAACTTATGCGGAAGAAGTTCCTTGTCCAGCGAGACCCCTTGCGAACTCATGCCCTGAAATTTATAGTCACTAGATAGCTTGCTCAAACTTTCTTGCATGAGGGTCATTTGTTGTTGCTTCACAGGGTCATCAATTTTGAGGGTTAAAGCCTTTAACACCTCAGTCACGTCATTCAATTGACTCCTAAGTTCATTGACCTCTTCTTGACTTGCCATTATCTTTTTAGCCTTCCTCTTTTGACGAATTGGTTTATCAAAAAGGGAAACTTGAATAAAGAGGTTGTCCTTGATTAATCGCCCTTCTCTCCTCGACCAAGTACTGTGAAAAAGGAATTTGGGGATATTTATTGTTAATTATTTGACTCAAACTTTATTCAACATTTAATGGATGGAGGAAGTGAAGAAAGATTGGAATAGAATGTGAAGAAAGATGATGTAGGTAGAGGGATGTGAAGAATTAGGAATAGAATGTACCCCCAACTTAAATGACGGAAAAAAACCGACTCATGCATGAACCTAAGACATGGTCATGGTGACATATACTCAAAGTGTGTGCTAAGACTAGTGAGTGTAGGTGATATGTTAAGACTCGTGTCATGACCATGTGGATAGACTATGTGACTAGACTCAATTAATGACTTAACAAAGTGTTATTGACAGCGAAATTTAACCGAATTAATTGACAAACTGATTAATTAGACATTAGGTGATGACTCGATCAATAATCCGAAATGTCGTCAAAACGACAGGACTGGCGTCACACTGTGTAGTGTAGCGCTAGACGACAGAGCTGTCGCCAGGCGCCACACTCCTCAAAGTGGCGCTACAGCTCATATTTTAGCGCCAATTCTTGAACTTCAATCTGAGACTGTTTTCGGTGTTATTAATCAACAGGGGTATGCTTAAAGTCGTACTAGGTCAATTCCGATTAAAATATTAGACTTTATTTACTCAAATTAATTAATTAATTAAATAATTAGGCAAATTCCTTTAAGTCATTAATTTATTAAATCTCAACACAAGTCAAACAAACGGTTAAGAAAACATATATATGCACAACAAATAATGCACAATTAGTCAAGTAGGCACAATATGATGCAATGAGTTTTCAACCTAACCATGGCTCTAGTTCTCTAAAGTTCGGGATATGGTTTAGTCAATAGAGGGTCCATGGTTAATTGTCCGGATGCACCGCGCGGAAGCCTAACCGTGAAGGGTTGGCGCGAGTGGATGGGACACCGCGAGTTTTAGAAAAAACTCGCTTCCATGGTTTGGTGAATTCAACGTTCTCGGATGTACCCTTTGTTGCTCAGAGCGTTCAATCAGGTAGATGGAGCATGAATTCCCAAAGGGTTATGTCCATATGTAGAACACATATGGGTTTCAGAAAAGTGA